GAATGCCTTGAATCGGACCACCCTTAATTTTCTGTTGATTCTGTATGTTGGGCCCAAGCCTGTTAGGGCGTAGCTTAGCACTATATATAGACGCTATGGGAAACCCTATTCTGTAATTCTGGTTTTGCCTCTCCATAATAAAACTGCTCCCTCTCTTCCCGTGGACGTAGCCAATTTATTGGTGAACCACGTAAATCTGTTGTCTTGTTTTTGCGTTTATATTTTCTCGTATTATCTCAAATTCCGCACAACAGACTTGTTCAATCAAGTTTTCAGCAGAGTCTACAGCATGTCGAAGCTCATTAAGCCACTCTCTCACAAATTGATTTGATGCCTGCTTATTCTCTGCATCAGTTAGCACAGCTTGAAGACCAAGCAAAGTCAATTTCAGCTTCTTTAAGAGCTCAACATCATTCTTATGCTTCCGAAACATTTTGAGAAGATCACCCTGAGGAGCAAGCCTATCAATGAGAACATCGAAAGCTGAAGAGAGAAAAGCATCACCAATTGCTACGACAACCTCCATTTCTGAAATCTGCAAATTCAAAACGAGATGATTTTTTAAGATAAATATTTTCTTATCATTAATTACTAACAACTTCTTTCTTTATGTACCTGTTGAATGCTAAAAGTAATTCGCAAACAAGAATGATCGATCACCTGTTGAATGCTAACAGTAATTTGCAAACAAGAATAATCACTGAACGAAGCATAACAATTCTCTTTTCTTTACTCCCAAAAAACAAAGATTCCAAAATAATTGAGACAATTAAGAAAAGTATAATTTTTAGCTTTATGTCTATTCTTTACTTTTGCTTTGCGCACTACTGCTTTTTTTCAACAGCTCATTTTAGTGCTTATTGGGGCCAAATTGTGAAGAACTGGAATCCGTTTAATTTTCCTTTTCTCTCGATTATTATTTTTTCTATGTTTAATTAGTACAAAGTATTAGAGAAAATAATATTTGAGTTGTGAAAGCAGAGTACACTAATATTTTTATTAGGTTAGATTATCCACATCAAACCTCTTGGAGTCTTACTTTTCTTTTTGATTTATCTCAAAAAGAAGTATCTCTTTTTATATTATAGCAAGTTTTCAATTCCTACATTTTACTCGACGACAAGTTTAAAACCACACGTAATACACATCCTTAATTGAGGCAATAATAGAGGAAGGTAGGTATCTTTTGCTTTATCTCTGTTCGTAACTTTTTCTTTATGAAATTCATTTTTCGACAGTTCATTGTAGTGCTTAATGGGGCCTAATTGTGAAGAAGTGGAATCTGTTCAATTTTCCTTTTTCTCTTTGAGTAGTATTATTTTTTCTATGTTTATTTAAGTTAAAAAGTCCATCAAAAACAATCTCCCTACAAGATAGTGGTAAGTTTCTGTAATTGCTAATTGACAACTTGCATACGAATATCAGTTTTCATAACGACGGAGATGATTATATTCCTACAACAAGTTCAGAAAGGCATCTTACGTATTACTAACTAGGAAATGAATCCCAGTTAATTTGACCTCTTCTACGTACCCTAGTAGTTAATAAAGTGGGTTAAATCCCCAGAAAGATTTTAAAAAAAAGTATTTCCATCCTTACCTGTTGTTGTCTACCGGTGTGAAGTGACAAGTATCACATCAATTAAATAGTGAAATTGCGTGAAAGCAGACTAGACATAATTTTACCCGTTCTGAAAAAAAATCCCAAACTTGACAAAGCTTTCAAAACTTCAATTTCAACAACTTCCAACCCAAATATGCTACGTGGGTGAAGTATCAAATAGGCAAGAGGGAACTGGTTCAACCTTTCAGAACAATCACTCAATGGGTGGAAATTCAAATAAAATGGAAAGAATTCAAAGAGAGCGACGACAACGACGTGAGGAGCGTCCCTCTTTCCAACCCTTTTAACAATTAAACTCTTATATTTTTCTTTACACCACCGATGAAGGACAAATGTCGTTTCACTAAAGCATAAGAGGACTTTTCAAGTTTTCCCAACTCATCAAGTTCCTAACTTTCCAAGTTGCTCTTCTTTTCATTTCTCATTAACTCTTGCTACATACCAAGAATACTGGGGAAACTGAGTTGAAGCATAGACAACCATGGTCATGTCCTCTTCCGATCTTTGGGTACATTAGAGCTAGATGTCCCATTTGCAGCAAGTCATGCTTCACCTAAAGGAAGGCACAGTGGACAGTTGTACGACTTGGTCAATCCACATATTGCAATTACAAACCAAAGCACACACATCTCTCTATATATAGCTGTACATGAATGATTCCTCTGGACAAGTAATGAAATACTATGGTTTTATTTGACTAAGAAAGTGATTACTGCAAGTGAAGAAGTTTAAAATTCAATGTATCATATATGGCTCACACGTTGTTTTTTTATATTTTACAAATTTGTAGTGTTTGTAATATCAATTAAGAATGTATACCTGCATCGTTCAGCTTTTCTTGTAGATTAACATTTTCTTCCTTCATTCTATTAAGCTCTTCACTGTCTTGGATGTCAAACTAATCCTGCCGAGCCACATTGTCATACACTTTAAATGATATCTTACCAATCTCACAGAGACTTCATATCTGCAAAACAACAGAAGAAATTAGAATCACATGATTACCGAAAAAGGAGTCAAGCTTTTGGTATCATTTTGGAAAAAACTACGGTTACATTTGTAAATAAACGAGCAATCAAACTGAAACAACAGTTGCATGTTGTATTTCTCGAAAAATCCTGATAATGGAAGTTTACTTACTCTCTAAAACCTCTTATTGTTATCCGTGATTATCATAAACAGTTCAAACCATAAGCATAATGTTTACAGTCGACAATAACAAAATTGCGAACCTATCTTAATCACTTACACTTTTCTGTCACGACCACATTGAAGTTGCTGTCTATTCAACAGAGAATTGCAGCAAAATTTTCCTTTTACTAACTGAGCTAAGAGCTGTAACACCTTACGTATTGTTATCAAAAATCCTGACAAAGAAGAGGATAAGTGAAAATTGTAATCGTATACCATTCATTACAATGTTTATCTTGTTTTGTATGGTTACCAGTCTCTGTCGAACCCATAGCTCCACCCATGTATGAGAAGAACTAGAACTGAAATACACATACGTCATTTAATCAGTAGTAATAACAACATAAAAAATTACGCAAACAAATTTCACTCCCCAAAGTATCCCCTGTTTCTTATACATTTTACATTGCATTTACTGTTTTCTCTAATCATTCGCGTCCAGAAATTTCCAATAATTGTGTCGTGTTTTGCATTCTGTCTAGGTATCCAAAGTGAAACGAACATCATTATAGCATCCTAGGCAATTACCACATCGACAGAACACAAGAGAGATGTTGATTAGTTGCTGGTATATAAAGAAGCGACCTTAAAACCAAGTGACACATTTAAAGTTGTGTGATACTAGGACGCAAAGTCAACAATACAAGCTATAACATCCATAGTCCTGGTGTACAATCCAACTTAAGAATACATACCACTTGAGACCTTCGAAAATTTTCACTTCCTAAATAATCGTTGAGCCTTGTCAATATCCTAATAATGAAAAAGTAATATGTTTACTTATAATCTATTACCATAATGTACAATATGTCTCTTATTTGTTACATTAAGCAACTTTTTTCTCATGTACCTTTTTTTATCATTGCAGCAGAACTTTGCTTTTACAAACTGAACTAGAGCGGTAATAGCTTACATGTAATGTTACCAGAATCCTGAGAGAAAAAAATTTGCATAGTTGATATCCAATAATCGATATATGCATACCTCTAAACTTTGTGTATTGTACACCTTTGAATTCTATTAAAGCTTTGAATTCAATAGTCGATATGTGCATACCTCTAAACTCACTGAAAACAGAAAGAACAAGATTTTGTGCAGCAAGATATTTTAATTCCTATATATACTAGATTTCGTTTTACAGCGTTCCCACATAAATATAAAGATTTTATCAACTTTTTCTTTTTTTTTGGTATCTAAAATTAAATTTATCTTGAAGTGAAGATTATTTATCGGGCTCAACATGCAAGTTCTTAAAAGAGGAAATAGATTAACTTAAATCTATCGGAGCATCACTCGTGATAATCATTACAGATTCTCCCAATCAACATTTATTCTTGGATGTATGAGCAGTTTTTGGTGTGGATTGAGCAAAAGACATTCCACACTGCTCGACAAGATATAAAAAAAATTAGGAAAAAAGATAAGTGAAACAAAAATGACGAGCTTCTGAGGGAAAAGAATAACTTACATCAGTTGGATAGCCCTTCGTCTTAATCATCACATGCATTCACCATTGATGTATAAGATGGGAATTTGAGCAATATTTTGCCAGTATTTCCCTTTGTCAAATTCCAGTAGTGGTTCGAGCAATGGGCATCTCCTAATATCTAGTTTAGAGAGGGAAGAGGGCATCTCTTTTACTGGAAGGGATTGGAGATTAGGGCAGTCGGAGATGTTCAGCTGAGAGAGGGAGGAGGGCAGTGCTGATTCGGAGAGTGATTGGAGATTACGGCGATCGATGATGGTCAGGTGAGAGAGGGAGGAGGGCAGTGCTGATTCGGAAAGTGATTGGAGATTACGGCAATAGAAGATAGTCAGCTCGGAGAGGGAGGAGGGCAGTGCTGATTCAGAGAGTGATTGGAGATTAGGGCAATCGAAGATGTGTAGATGTATAAGTGAAGTGAGGTGGGAAAGATGTAGTGAATGGAGCTCATCATGGTTATGTAAATGTAGCTCTGAAAGAGAGGAGGGAAGCCCACCTTGTTCCACAAGTGACGGTATATTACCCTCAACATATAGATATTGAAGAGAGGTGAGGCTTTTCAGAACTTGGCTGCTTAATGTTTTCAGATTTTTTATGGCAAGTCTTGTGATAGAACAAGGCAACTGCCAATGTTGGATCCCTTCATCACTGCCATCATGTCTGATCACTAACTCAGTGAGTCTCTGTAAACACCACTCCTTTCGGCTGTTCACTACTTTCTTGCAATTACTGATCATAAGGAGTTGTAAATTAAAGAGATGTATTTCTGGCAGACACTTGAGCTTCTCATGATTCCGAATATACAAATACGTCACCGCAGAGTCAACTGCCACCGAAAGTATTTCAACATTCTCACAATCCTGAATAGTGAGACTTTCAGTGGCAGTAGGAATCAAAAACCTAGTAAGGTTGTGGCAACTCTCTACACTCAATTTACGTGCTGTTGGGAGCAACTCAGGTGATATATCATCTATATAATTACATGCATGCAGTCTCAATTCCTCGAGAAACATGTCACAATAACCAACTGCCTCCTCCAATTTCAATTTCTGACAACCAGATATGGATATTCTCTTCAAGGAACTGGGCAATATGCTAAAAGGTAATGAGGTAAGAGAGTTACAATCATTAATAAAAAATACCTCAATCTGCTTCATTCCCTCAAGTTGGGATCTAAACAGTTGAGCATCATCAAAAAGAGATGTATCTGAAATACTCAATTCTGTCAGACAACAAAGATTTTCAGGCAATTTCCCCATCAACTTCGGACACATTTTAATTGAAAGCTTCTCAAGTATAGGGAACTCCCCAATTCCTAATACGTGCCATTGCTTCCACTCCGCCATATCTCTAAATTCAAGCTTCTCAAGAGAGTTAAAAGGCTTTTTGGAGTACAGGAAACTGCCATAGAATTCTTCTGTCACCTCTCTTATTCCATGCATCCCTCTAATGTAAAGGAATTTTAAACAAGGAAGCTGTCCTAGTGCTGGCAGGGAATAACAGTCCTTGCACTCGCTAAGAGACAATTTCACAAGCTTAAGAAACAAAGGATCAGCAAGCCAATTTGAAAATTTTGCCCCTCTATATCCTGTGATTTCTAATCGTTTTATATTTGTGTATGGGTATAGCTCATCAAGTATCTCTCTTTCAGTTTGAGAATCGTAAGCAGAACTACCGTCACTCCACTGCAAATACAACTCCTCAACATGCTCCTTTTCCTTCATATTTGCCTTCACAGCTTCCCTTCTATCAACTACATTTTGCAACTCTAAAACTGATAGAGATCCATACAAGTTCTGTACTTCACCCAAATCTTCCATTCTCAAACCACCGCTACTACCTACAAGAAACTTGGCTCCCACTAGCATTTGGAGACTTTTCAACTTGCTCAGATGTAGTGGCATCTTCAAGCGATAAGTGTTGGTTAAGTCAAGATGAAGCAAGTTGATCAACTTCTCCATCTGCAGTGGTAGCTCCTCAAGATATTGACAAGATGACAAGAGAAGTGTCTCCAAGTTATACAATACACAAATGGAATCTGGCAACTTTTCAATCATTGTCCGAGAAAGGTCCAAAAATCTGAGGATCTTTAATTTGATAAACAAGTCATTTGGCAACTCCTTAATATAGTAACATGACAATGACAATGCCCTTAAGGATGTCAGTCTTGGCAGTATGTTATGCAACACCCTCTTGCTTATATGATTTAGAGAGTAATAGTCATTGGTTGAAAGCAATGTCCTCAGCTGCTCTGATTCAGAGAGTTGTTTCAATTTCTCAAAGTGGCCATCTTCTCCTCTGGAATAGGACATGTGCCGACTTTGTTCCAACATATCAGCAGATCCTTCATTCTCTTCCAACCTAATACAATGTTTTGAAGATGCAGTTTGGGCCAAATCATTGATAAGGTCGTGCATTACGAATCCCTCCGATTTCCATTCTGATTCTGGGACCCTTTCAAGCAACGATCTTGATCTCAACTCGTCAAAGTATTTATTACCTAAACAAAACTGCTTTACAAGACCATTAGCAATCCACAGGTAAATAACTTGGTCTTTGAAGAATTCATGATCTTTGGGATATATCGCACAAAAAGCAAAACATCGCTTCAAATGTGGAGGAAGATCATTGTAGCTCAACATTAACGCTGGTAATATACCATTCCAACAACTTTGCTGATCCCATATTTCAC